TATATAAATATATTAACGATTACGTCGGGGTTCACCAATGTTTGGTCATCGAGAGTTTTCGATGCCGTAAATAAAAACTCAGAATTTAATTCATTTCAACGTTATAAACTTTATTCAGGCCGCATATGAAATTAGGATTTATGTACAATATTTGAAATCCAATTTAGGATGCGAGCGCAGTAAGAAGACGAACGAGAGTGGCGCCAACCTTGCAGAATAGGCTAAGCGGATGCTCGCTAACTATAAACGCCGAAGTAGCAAAGCCGAGCGGCCGAAAGAGAATCGGCTTGCGACCAGCAAAACATCAGTTACTAATTAATTGTTGTCTTTAAATTAGTTGCTTGCTGCTTGACCCGACAAACACAATAAACTTTTATTTCGGTTTCTATAGTTAAAATTGAAATATTAAGTGGTTTGCTAATGACATACTAGTTTCATACCAGATATCAGGGATGCCGTCTTTGGGTTTTCCCCCAGATTTGAGGTTTTTTAAGGGGTTATATACCTTTTTTTTCTTCAAAAAAACGAAAAAATTTTTTTTTTTCTGAATCCTAAAGTATATCCCCTACAGAATATTTTCCCAAAGTTTCATGGAGATCCGAATAATAGTTCGATAGGAAAACAGCGTTTTGAGGCGCGGTTCGTCACGGCTGCGGACAGCGTCAAGCTACTTTGAATGCGATTATCTCAAAGTCGTGTTTTTCCAAAAGTGCCTTCGCCGTGACCACGATTACACAAAAACTATTTGATCGATCTTCTTCAATTTTTTTTAAAATTATTCGTAATGATTGTGCCGTGTTCGTGAACGATTCAGTTTTTCTGCGTCCATTTTGATTTCGCAGATAAAAATTTTTTAATAAAATTTTAAGAACTGAAAACATCAATTTTTTGGAAAAATGTTTACTGTATGCAGAAAAAACCAAATATTCTTGAAAATAATCGTTCACGAACTGGATATAATATTATACTAATAAAAAATTTTTGGTTTTTTGATTTTGGTTGACTTGCTGGACTTCTATCTTGGTCATCGCAAGCCGCTATAAAAAAAAGGGTTCCGAGAGAATTGCCATAACTTTGTAAATTGTTTACATTTTTTAAGAACAAACGCTTATTGTTTCGATAAAAACATGTACTTTCAATAAAAAATAACTTCAGTGTCATAAAATAATTGCTACACATACGAAATAAAAATCTAAAGTTCCCTCAATTTTTTCGCTCAAAAAGGTATATAACCCCTTAAACTGCGCTTGCGGGAAAAAATGTAAAACAGCGGGAAGACGCTAATTTAGCTTTATTTCAGATCGAGTTTTCGAGTTTTTAAGCGTTTTTTATTATATCAAATTATATCTTCATACATTTGCATTTTTTTAAGCTTTTACAACACTTAATATATCGACATGAATTCATACAACTCTTGTCATGTGGTGTGTGAACTTTAAAGCGAAAAATAGTGGTTTAAAGTGCTTGTGATGTCGAAAGATAAATCCTATAAATAAAAACTTCGCGATGCGTGACTCCAGTACAGCTAATTTAAGCAGTGGCTGCGTAAAGATCTTACTGATTTGACACGGGCTTACTGCAGCTACTGCAAGTGCGGTGTAGCCGCAAAGTTAAGCGGTTTGCGAGCACATTCTGCTACTAAAAAGCACTTTAGTTGTATGAGCGGCTTTTCACAAACTAATAAAATACAATTCGTGCAATTCCTACAAAAACGTTAGAGCAAGAAGCTGCTCTTTGTCTTTTTGTGGCAAAACATACTGATGATAACAGCACAGCAACAAAAATAAAGCTGCACCGTACAAAATGTACCCAAATTATAAAGAATGTATCCGGAACATCTAAGAATCAGTATGTTGAAGAGGCAGTTAATATAGACGAAATAATTATTATAAAACCAAAAACTTGGAATAAAATGACTTTAAAAATCTAGTGTTTTTTTTAGCTGTTTTGAAAGGATTTTTGGGGTTTTCGGGTTTTTATTTTGCTAATCTAGCGTTTTTTTGGGAAAAAATTATGGCAACACTGGATGATTTTTATGAAAAAAAATGAAATATAACTTTTATTTTCAATTTTTATAATAATAATTAGGAAGAATTATTTTTCAATTTTTTCAATAAAAATTAAAAATAAAAATTATGATTAAATCTTTATTATAAAAATTGAAATTAAAACTTATTTTTCAATTTTGAAAATAAAAAAAAAATAATAATTTTGTTTGATAAAATAAAATATATTTTATTTTAGTTGTTTATTAAATAATATTTAAATAATTATGGCGATAAACGAGAAAATAATTAATTTATTAATTAATAGTCGAGTAATGTTGACAGTCCAGACACTGAGTATCAAAATAGTTGGTTGCCAATGACACTGAAAAAGGAGTATACCCAACCAATTTGTAGGATAGCGCGTTACGTATGTGCAAAGAATTGAAAGGGGGGTGCAATATTTCAGCACAAGACTTGTACTAAATTTGTCTTCTCGACTTTAAATTTTTTGCACAAATACCTGCGGTTCTGCCTTACGATCCTTCAGTCCTGCGGCCACTTTCCTCTTGGAGTGATGCAGGTGCAGGACATGGGGCTTTCGATGGTGATGATAGGATGATCCTGGACCCTTGATTTCACGAAGGGGCTAATTTATTTAAATGTATTTTTCACTTAAATGGGGACATCTGAATAACAGACGAAAAAAAATGAATTTTTGGAATTTTTTTTGTCCAAATGAACAGCCAATCGAAAATTTCTAAATGAGGTTTTATTATATTATATTTAAAGAACAAAATAAAATTTTTTTTTAATAAATCGAAAACAAAATTGCGGCTCTGCAGCTTTTAATCGTAGGCCCTATTTTTTTAAAGGGATTCCATGGCTGAACACCTAACGTCCTTAATTTTTGATGTAGAACAAAAAATCAAGTTTGGTTAGTTAAATGGTGAGTGATTGAAAAAAATTTTCAATTTTCACGGACAAAAAACGAAACAAAATTTTTGATAAAAAAAAGAAAACAATATACAAAAAAAATCCTACGTGTGTCGATAGACATAAGTATTCTGAGTATACTGTCATTTTAGATCGATAGGTTAAGAGTTGTTCGAGTTATGTGTTCGGCCAACTCAAAAAAGCGGTTTCGATAAAAACGCGTTTAATGTTTTAAGTACTTAGGATATACTTGTGAGGCATCGCCGCAGAATGGAAAATTTCGACACTTTTGCCGGACTCTATCTTTTGATATGTTATTTTTAAGACCCTAAAGAATTTTTTAAGCGAAAAAAAAATTTTAGATTTTTTCTAAATTCTACTCAGATGTCCGCCCTTAACACACAGTCGTGGGCAAATTTTTTGTGTAATAACACTATGTCACTGTTACCTTTTTTTTATTTAAACAATTTTTTAATATTTGCACAAGTCCATCCGGGGGCGCCACAATGTTTATCGAGGTTACGAGGAAAAAAAATTGGCCTAACAATGAAAAAAAATTTGTTAAAAATTCGTTAATATTTTATTCCATTTGTGTTTTTTATCAGCTGATTACTGTGAAAGTTTCATTCGGTTTTATCAACACTGGTAATTTTGGCTGGACTTTTGGCGCATTCACTTTTGCATTGTTGTCTACATGAATAAAATCGAATATACAGGCATGCTCCGGTTTTCACTTTCGGTTTTCGTTTTCGTTTTGAAAACGTATTTATTTCCAAACTTAAAAAAATGGCTTGGGGGTAAGAAATTTCAGTCAAATCAAGAGAAAGGAAGCTAACTTCGGGCGGAGCCGAATTTGATACACCCTTGCAGTTAAAACCTGATATATATCGCAAACATCGGATTGTGATTATTGTGATTTAACGGAAATTGTTATTTTGGTACCTATAAACTATACAACATCTCTCTGGTGCAGTAAATTGACATCATTACTTTTGTTGCTGACTTTTGTTTCTTTGCTTTAACGGATGGATTCGCACCTTCTCAGCTCCTTACCATGCTTTGTTGTTTGGTTTCAGGATCGTACTTGTAAAACCAGGCTTCATCACCTGTCACAATTTTCTGAAAAGTGGAACACTTGCCACTTTTGAATTTTTCAAGAAAATATTGAGCAAAACGCACATGTGCCCCTTTTTGAGCTTCAATTAAAATTTAAGGGATCCATCGAGCAGATTTATCGTGTATCCAAGATCATTTTTTAATATTCGTGATAAAGCCATGGCATTCGAGCCCAGTTCTTCAGCACTCATTTACTGGGTCAATCTTGTATCTTCGTTAATTTTAGACTTCACCAGCGCTACATTTACATCGGTAGTTGTAGATTTTGGACGGCCTTCTCGATATTCGTCCTCCACAGAAAAATGTCCTGAGTGAAATCTTCGGAACCACTTTTAAACAGTCACAAGGGATGGCGGATGCACTCCAAATCCTGTTTGGCACTCACTAAATATTTCCACAGGCTTCACGCCGAAATCCAAAAATAATAGCAAACCGAATTTCTTGCTTCGTTGGTACAGGGATATCCACTGAGACGACTTCACTAAGTTTACGTTTTCTTGTGTCCATTTTGACCGATCCTTCTGAAAATTGAACTGAAATATCGTAAGACTATAACAAACAGTTTGCAATTTTTTATTTATAAAAAAAATTATAATGTGACAGCAATTAAGCATAACTAAGTTACATAAGTTAGCCCGCTCGTTCCAGCGGGTTCCAGCTCTGAAAATCATAGGAAATTACTATTAAGATTCTGCTGGGGGCACGTTTAAGGAGCAACTTGCAGAGAACCATAGAGTTTGCGGTTGGTAGTTTTGTTGTGTGTTGTGTGTTGGTATAGAGATATTGGGCGTTTATTGATTGATTGATTTGACTGGTGGATCGTCTAGAGGAGCAGCACGATGAGGATATTTGGTTTAAGTACCGCGGTTATGGGACTAACTAGGTACATATTATTAGCCTAAACTAATTGCAAATGTTGGGGTATTTCAGTTAATTTCATCAAATATATAATTTTAATTTCAGAATGTTAAATGCCCAATGCCAAATGCTATTTTTCTCTGCAACATATGATAAAGAAGTGATGGATTTTGCCCGTCTTATAGTAACGGAACCAACTATAATAAGGTATGTATGAAGTTATTATTCATTGGTATTGGTATTGTTTCTCGATATTAAGGTATTGTTCCACATCAAAAGAATATAAGAGTGTACAACTTCTCAAAAAATCGTCAGAATTAGTGGTATTGCGTTTCATTCGAAATAAGCATGTTCGTTGGTCTTGCTGCACTAGTCTCTCAGCTATCCACTTCAAGGACCGGGATCGGTCAAATTTATTCTTTAGCTGCCATTAAGTTTGATTTCGCAACTCCTACCCGTTTCCACCTCCACCCTTAAAAAAAAGCCAATCTAGTCTTCAGAATCGTTATTTTAATTGCAGTGTGCTTTCATATAACAACATACTACATCGATGAAAATATTTAAACAATGCTGTCAATACAATACTAGAGCTCGGCAGTATACTTACTTTTCTTTCGTTTGCGGAGAATGTTTGAACTCGCTTAAGACCGCGTCTTTCCTTCAAGGATGGCGTCATCTATGAATATATGGAAATGCTCGGTTTAACATTTGGAAATCTCTTGGAAATTTTTAATTACCTACCGGATCTGCAAATACGTCTAATGTGGTTATTCGGACTGACCTTACAGTCCGCTGCTCTAAAAGATTTTCTTGACCCATTACGCACTCTAAAGGCCATTGACCTCTTGACAATTGCAGGAGTAGTGATTCTTGCGAAAAAAACTTTATACGCACGGTTGACCTTTGCTCTATTTTTCACAAATCCTTTGTCTTGGAAACTGCAGCGGCTAGCCCATTTGCCATGTAAGTTTTCCAACAATTTTTTATATGCTTTTTGGGAAAGCAATTTTTTTATTTTTCCATTTCCATTTCCACTTATATTAAAAGGGGACCGCAGCTTTAGCTCGCAGCTTTTCAATCGTGGTATCGATAAGGCTGCTGCTAGCGCTACCTTAATTTTGGTAGCAAAAAGAGTGATGAACCTTACCATAAGCTACTGTCGAAGCGCCCACAAACCTGCACAGGCATAAAGTCACGAACTTCTCGTTTAAAGGGACTACGAAGGAGACTATCATGAGAAAGCGCGCAAGTATTTACCATTGAGCCGCGTGAACCGCCGGTACTAACTCTTGATCCCAGTCTTACTTTGGTCGCCACCATTCCTGCGTAATTTTTCTTAAGGGAATAACCGGGCTAAAAAATCCCAGTAGGTCCAAAAACTGAGCTAACTCTGACAAAACCCCCTTTTGGAAAAAATTACTAATTTGTCTGCTGTACAAGAAAACTAAAGGTGGAGGACCGCAGTAAGGGGACCGCAGCTTTAGCTCGCTGAAAAAATCCAAAAGGTAAAAAAAAACAAGAGGAAAAAATGGTTAATCAACACAATCAACAAATCCAAAAGTAAAGTCTTATTTTTAAAAATCTGTCAGTACGGTCGGTTAATAACCTGATTAAATTTGAGTGAAAAATATAGGTTTGTTTCTGACTGGCGTAGAAACAGACAGACAGACAGACGGACAGACGGACATGCTCATATCAACTCAGGAGGTGATCCTGATCAAGAATATATATACTTTATAGGGTCGGAGATGTCTCCTTCACTGCGTTGCACACTTTTGGACAAAATTATAATACCCTCTGCAAGGGTATAATATGAGGCAGCACAATCTACCGCACAAATCAACCGTATGGCTAAGCCCACATCGGAACCGGAGTCAGAGAACGCATCTAACATAATTTTTACCAAACGTTTGCAACCAACATCTTGCAGGCCGCATCGATATAACTTACGGAATGGAAGACTGTAGTTACATCGCTTCCGCTTACTGCCCTCCTCGCTTCTCAATCTCGGAAGAACTATTTATGGACTTACAAAATTCACTTGAGGTTCGATTTATATCCGCTGGAGAAATCATCGCTAAACATACCCATTGGATCACGTCTAGTGACTCCCAAGGAAGTAAATTTTACAATGCAATTATAAATATTATAAATTATTATCAGTACTATAAAAGTTACTTGAGAGAGTATTTCTGCGCAGATTTCAGACTGTATTAGACGAGGCTGGTTTGATTCCAGACCATCAATTTGGTTTCAGGCGTTGTCACGCCACCCCGGAGCAATGCCACAGTATTCTACAAAAGATTCTAAACAGCCTGGAGGAGAAGAAATATTGTTGCGCAGTTTTCCTTGACGTCAAGAAGGCATTTGACAGGGTCTGGCATCCAGGACTACTAATGAAAATAAAAAGGAGCGTACCCCATAAGCATTACGCCTTCCTCAAGTCATACCTTAATGACAGGTCATTTAGGGTTAGATGTGGAGACGCAAGGTCAGATTATAGGCCCATTAAGGCAGGTGTACCGCAGGGTAGTACCGCAGGGTACTACCGCAGGGTAGTTCGGCAAGCTTGCCACAGGATGCCTCTGACTGTCTCCAGCGTCAGCTCGATGCCCTTGACCCGTGGCTTCAAAGATGGAACAATGCAATTAATCATGATAAGTCCGCCCAAACTACATTTACCTTGAAGAGAGGCGACTGTCCACAGATTAGCATTGGAGGCACTGCCATACCACCTAACTCAACCCCTAAATACTTGCGAATGACGTTGGATAGGCGTCTAACATGGAGGACCCATCTACTGCGCAAACGAAAGCAAGTACAAGAAAAGCTGCGGCGGCTTTACTGGTTGATTGGACTTAAGTCAACCCTGAAGCTGAGGGTAAAACTACTAGTATATAAGTCAATAGTGAAGCTGTGGGGCACAGCGAGTCCAAGCAATATGAAAGTCATTCAGCTGGCACAGAACAGAGCTCTCAGGACGCTGTCTGGGGCTCATCCTTACCACGACAATTTGACTATTCATGCTCAACTGGGCATCCCTACAGTCAGCGCTGAAGTTAGAAAATTCGCCGCTAAATACCAGGGCAGACTAACCCGACATCCAAACACATGTGCCACCAATTTGCTGGACAGCAGCAGCACCACCATCAGAAGACGGAAGAGGAAGCATCCACTGGATTTACTAAATTAACTTTTAAGATTCATAGCTTGTATTTATCAAACTCCTATTGTCAAGGTTAACTTAAAAAATTTAATTATTGTCCTTAACTGAGGATAGATTGTAAAAAAAAATGTTAAAAAAAAAAAAAAATAATAAATTATAAATATGGGAAATTAACTGGACTAAACTGGACTTCCCCTTGGATGCCCCTTACCGGCCAACAGACCCACGTAAGCTCGTAGACCTTATTGATTTGCGGAGACAAAAACATACCTCGCAATCTATTAAGTGCCAAAACGGTCTCCGACTTATCATCAGACCACTCGCCTGTGTTTTTAACGCTTCTTCAAAGCCCAGCAATAACCGAACTTCAGCCTAACATCACCATATATCTCCAAAGTGTCTTCCATCCTAATTCTGCTTTGTGTTCATACCTCTTGCTACCAACTGAGCCAGAACGAAATCGAAAAAATCGTAAGGGATACCGGATACCGTTGGTGACCTACAGGCCCCAAAGAAGTTGGTCGAACTCCCGAGAAACTGTAAATTTCAATCGGATCCGTAATCTTTGCTGTTACCCAAAAAGGTGGAAGAAATCCATTATCATAATCATAACAAATGCTGGAAAAGACCACACATCACCGTCATCGTACAATGCAAATAAGCCTATCTATCTTGTTTGTCTAAATTGTTTGAAAAAAGCTTCTTAACGCATAATAAAATAATAGTGAAAGCTTGCAATACTAATCTAGCAGCCTCCACTGAATCACAAACTCACGATCGCCACCGTGCCTGAACTACAAGATCCTACTCTACAATTCAGTCCGAAAGCCAATCTGGAGATAAGGCTGTGAGAAAAAACGCAGCAGCAGCCTCATAGACATCATACAGCGCGCAAAATCTTGAGAACTATCACTGCTTTACCATGGTATGTTCGCTATGAAAGCATCCGCCGGGACCTGGCCATCCTGGACAAAATCTATAAGCAAAAAGTGTCCACAAAGAAAATATGTCTACAATCAATTTTTAGGGCTGTCTAACGCGGCAATAAAGGCCATCAAGGCAGGATCATTTTTATTTTTACAGCGGGTTCCACTGCAAACTGGGGCCACGCTAAGATGATATTTATGTTTCTTTTGGTCTTTTTTGGGAATATATCATTTTGACAAGACAAACAAAATTAAAAATAAAAATTTTGTCTTGTGTTTTTGTTTGATATTTTAAATCGAAATATGTTTTAAGCGACGAAAGCTACTGCATTAATAAGCAGAAATATATATTCGGCGAATACCTTTTATTTGGTGTGTAATACGACTAAAATAAATAAGTAAAATTAATAATTTTATTTATTCTTGATCAGGAATCCTGACTCACTCACTTTCTGAGTTAAACGATCGGAAATGACCCAAATTTCCTGTTTTTGAAGATTCTATTTTTGAAAATAGAATCTAGAGATAACGCTAAGCAAAACCCATTGAAAAAACCCTTATTACCTAATAATAAATACACATTCATCCTTTAAGGGGATTCATCCAATTTTCAATTATTTTTTAGGGTTGTAACTTTGCATACATTTATTTGAGAACATAAAAAGGAAGAAAAACATTTCACATATTTTTTTTTGTTTTTTGTGATTAAAAAAAAGCCTTTCTTTTCGGCGGCGCATGTGATTTCTTCTCACTGGAACATTTGAAACCAAAAATTCCAAGGGGAATAGAAAGAAAACATATTTGGCTCTGGTATGAACTAGGATTATTAATTTCGCATAAAAATTAACAAAATGGCGGGCCTTTGAAATTTTTTTTTTTTCAATTTCCTTTTTTTAAGCCACAAATTGAGTTGAAAAGTAAAGACGATCTTCACCGATTTGATTTATCCTAGTTCATACCAGAGCTATATATGTAGAAAATAACGTATTAAAATTTGGAACCGATTGGATTAATAGACTTTGAGTAACCTCATGCGCCAGTCGTAAAAACACTGTTTCGAGAAAAACGCGTTTAAAGTTTTGAGACGGTTCTCGCCGTCGCCTGACGCTTCCACC